CTCCGTACTGTGATAATGCGCGAAAATGTACGTTATTTAGCGATTTCGCAATAACCGCAGCTGTTAAATCGTCGTGCTAATAACGCGAACGTCGCGGGTTCAATCCCCGCATTGGCAAAATATTTTCGCTCATTTATTTATCGCTGCCGGTATTCATTATAACGTTTTTTCATTACACCTTCTACCATGTTCGTCCGTCTATCATGCGTCTATCGTCTATGCGTCTATCATGCGTCTATCGTCTATGCGTCTATCATGCGTCTATCGTCTATGCGTCTATCATGCGTCTATCATGTTCGTCTGTTCTAACTACGTGCAATTATGGGATACTAACTCTGAGTTAAAACATTTCACTCTGAGTTACTTAACTCAGAATTTAATCCATGTTTATGAAATCCAAATTTAACTCGGAGTTTACTAACTGAGCGTTAGTGAGTTTAACTCAGAGTTAGCTTTAACTCAGACTGTGCAACCGGGTCAAGGCCGTCGTACACATACAGCACACGGTCATAGGCTAATACTGTTTAACTAAGCTGTATATTTCGCGGTCGTTAAATTTCTCTTTCGTTTTGCGAGATTGACGGAGCAGTTCTTCAGTCAGTGATTCTCGTGCAATTAGACTTGCGCGATGGCGTGTGCATATGTTTGGTAGTGAAGTAGACCCGCTAAAATTCGAGACTGTTCGCTGGCAGCTATTGATCCGTCGCCGGCCTTTGGATTTGGCGCATGGATCAATAACTGCCAGCGCGTCATACTTTCGTAGGACGTTGCCGCGGTCGCGTGCGTCGTACCGCGGAATTGCGCGCAAGATCTACGCTCAGCGGTCAGGATCAACACCTCGCTTCGGCGACGCTTCTCTGGTATCCGGTCTCTCATCTGGACACTGGCGGGGTTGCTGGATGGTCTAGCAACGTTCTAATGAGTAGAAACGAGTTGTGAGGTTTGAAATTAATTTGAGGTTGGCGCTGTTTTAGACAGGTTCACCACGTACGTGTATGCACGCACACACGCACGCGCGCGCACACACGCACACACGCACGCACACACGCACGCGCGCACACACACGCACACACGCACGCACACACGCACGCGCGCACACACACGCACACACGCACGCACACACGTACGCGCGCACACACA